TGGATTCAGAAGAAGGAAGTCATGATGAACCTTCCCCAGAATGAAAAGGGGAGCCATGTGTCGAAAATAGTTGGGAGGAAAAAGAAAATGCTGCCTTTTCAAAAAGTGTGTCTGTGAAGAGATGAAGAGAACATGGGCTGGTCACTAGAGAGCACTGTGGGCTCACAGGTGGAACTCGTCTTTCTTCTCTTCCTCCCTCTTTTGTTTCTTTTTTATTCTTCTCTTTCTTTTTCTTTCTTTCCTTCTTTCCTTGTTTCTCTTTCCTTTTTTCTTCCCTGCTCTTTCTTTCTCTCTTTCTGTCTTTTTTTCTTTCTTTTTTCTCTTTCTTTCTCTCTTTTGTTTTTTCATCTTTTTATTTTTTATGTTTTTTAATTTTAGATGAAATAGGTCAGTGTTGACATATTGAACATTCTGGGGGAGCAAGGGAGTATAATTGCTGGATCAACGTCCTTGATGTGTAGGGAGATTACCCATGCCCAAGAGAAGTGCCTTTTATTGAAAGACTAGGGGCCACACACAGCGGCTCATGCCTGTAATCCCAGCACTTTGGGAGGCCAAGGTAGGAAGATTGCTTCAGCCCAGAAGGTCAAGACCAGCCTGGTGACAAAGTTAGACCCTGTCTCTACAAAAAAATCTTCAAATTAGCCAAGCATGGTGGCACACACCTGTAGTTTCAGATACTTGGAAGGCTGAGGCAGGAGGATAACTTGAGCACAAGACTTTGAGGCTACAGTGAGCTATGGTCATGCCATGGCACCCAGCCTGGGTGACAGAATAAGATCCAGTCTCAAAAAAAAAAAAAAAAAAAAAAAAAAAGAGAGAGAGAAAGAAAGACTAGAAGGGAACATAAAATAAGCATTGTAGTTGTAGATGTCTGTAGTTTGAGGGCAAGGTTGGATTTTGAGGCTTCATAGCCTCCTTTATTTTTTATTTTTTTGAGATGGAATCTTGCTCTGTTGCACTCATGCTGGAGTGCAATGGCGTGATCTTGGCTCACTACGACCTCCACCTCCTGGGTTCAAGAAATGCTCCTGCCTCAGTCTTCCAAGTAGCTGGGACTACAGGCGCCCGCCACCATGTCTGGCTACATATTTTAGTAGAGACGGGGTTTCACCGTATTGGCCAGGCTGGTCTTGAACTCCTGACCTTGTGAGCCACCCGCCTTGATCTCCCAAAGTGCTGAGATGACAGACGTGAGCCATCGTGCCCAACCAGTGACCTCCTTTTTCACCACGAAGAGGATTTATCTTTTGCTGTGAGTTGGAAAAGGAGACTAAGAAGTATAAGGAAACTAGAAGTGATTAGTTTGAAATAATAGTTGAATAGGAATATGAATTGCAGAAGAGTTATTCCCAGAGAGCCCAGCTAAAGCTAGAGATGAAATGCTCCGCAAAAGTAGAGATTCTATGCAGTTAAACCCAAGAGGTAGAGATAATGGAGTGAGAAGGATCCAGATGCGAGGACAATCACAGGAAAAGTTGGGAAGCAGGGCAGGTTTGGTTAAGGGGGTCAGATGTCAATGACTGCAAGGGGGTCAGAATAAATTGAAAAACAGGAAACTAGAAGCACTGTTTGAATAGCAATTGAGAATGACAAAAGGGTATTAGCTGGACTCAATTAAAAATAATGTATTAAAAGATACTTTTTGCAAAAATCTGCTCATAGTCATTACTTCAGAACATGAAATGGGCAATAGGATAGAGTGGGGAACTTTTACTTTTGACTTTACATTCTTCTATACTGTTAGAAATACATTCTATGCCATGAACAAGTATTACTATTGTTATTAAAAGCTAGCTAGAGTATCTATTGACAGGGTATGCAGTTTACTAGAGAACATATTAATTAAGTACTTTTTAAGAGACAGAGTATTGCTTTGTCACCCAGGCTGGAGTGCAATGGCACAATCATAGCTCATTGCAGCCTCAAACTCCTGAGCTCAAATGATCCTCTCTGGAGGCCACAGTCTCCCGAATAGCTACGACTACAGGCACGCGCCACCATGCCTTGCTAATTTTTTTTTTTTTTTTTTTTTTTTTTTTTTTTTTTTTTGTAGGAACAAGGTTTCATCATGTTGCCCAGGCTGGTCTTGAAGTCTTGTACTCAAGCGATCCACCTACCTCCGCCTCCTAAAGTGCTGAGATTACAGGCATGAGCCACTGCACCTGGCCTTAGAGTACATTCTTATAAATAAAAGCACTAATGCGGTGAGATTTTACTATCGGAAACAAGAAGTCCTTCCAGTCTTAAGTCCCTACCTCATTTCCTACTCTAGGGTCCTCACAATAACCTGCAGACTTCCATTTCCTGACACCCTTTCTCTTGTTCTCCTTCACTCTAAATCACTTAGGACTGAAGGTGATGCCAAAATGTTTCTGAGAAAAGAAATCAAGGAAATGAACTGCAACTGCGTACCTATGCCCAGATTTTTCTGTCTAATGAATTCAGTTGCATAGGCTGGGATCACTGAGGATGACCCTAGGAGGTGGAAAAATTGACAGAGTAAAGATAATATGACATTCCTAATAAATGAACTAAAGGTCTAAACACTCTAGAAGGTTAATCTGGAAAGCTTCCAAAGTCAATTGTTTACCTTACCTATCCTTTTACAAAGTCTTACTTGATCCTAACTGAATCAGATAACCCCTTGTGATTTTATCTAAAGCATCCGAAAAAATAGAGGAAGATAAATGAAAGGAGTGTTTTTGCCTTAGAGTCTACTACCTAGCTTTACAGTACATTTACCCAATTATCAAAGTGCTTTTGTTGCCAAACATATAAAAAATGTGAAAGTATTTGGCACAGTGAGAATTCTGTTATCAGATCTGAAGGTAGCATTTGTTATTATAGTGCTGGTTGAGCAAGGTCTTGGAAAATTATCTTAATGTTTATTTTTATTTTTTAAAGATGGGGTTTCACCATGATGGCCAGGCTGGTCTTGAACTCCTGACTTCAGGTGATCCACCCACCTCGGCCTCCCAAAGTGCTAGGATTATAGGCATGAACCACAGCGCCTGGCCCTTAATGTTTATTTTATATTAGCTCTTACAGTAGATTCCAACAGGTGACTTTTAAAACACTCATCAAAGAATTGTAGCTGTATTGTAGAACTAGCCTAAAACTGAGAAGACGAATGCTGTAACCCAAGCAGTTTTATAAACTATCAGCCAACTTTTGTAAAGGGTTGCTATTATTAAGTAGTTTGCATAGTTTTTATGTAAATTTCCCTTTGGTTTACAAACTTGATTTATAGGTCAAAATTTCCCTCAACTTTAAAAATTCAAATTTCACTACACTTGTTTACTTCTAACACTAGTTTCTATGGTATGTGATTGGAGGATAATCTGTGGCTATCTAAAGACTCGTGTTTATATTTTGCAAGGTACCTTTCTTTGTATATGCAGGAATTCTCTTGTTATTGTGAAATCTGTCCTGTCCTCTTTGTTATTTATGAAGGAATGCTGGAAAAATCTGGGGTGTCTCCAGTCCTCTTAAGCACGTATTTTTACCATTATTTTATGCGTGAGACTACAGTGCTGTGCTGGAAGCATTATTAACACACACCAAGAGATACTTTAACATAGAAAATCTTTTAAAAGTGTGTTTCAATCACCATTAATTGGCTTCTCAGAAACTTCTTATTGTATCTTTCTGAATTCCTCCACCAAAGCTGTTTTTCATGTTTTGATAAGAAAAATTAATTTGTTATAGATATTGGCGAAGAGAACTTGACTTTTTTTGTCTCAGGCTTTTTGATAAATGCGTATTACTGAGTTGCTCTTCCTTCATTTAATTTTCTACTACAGGGCTTTCACCAGGTTTGAAAGGCATACATTAAACAATACGCATAGCAACCGTTCTTTCCACTGAATGAATGGAACCATAAAGGTTACTCTATAGGCCAATTGAATAAGCTAATTTAGCCACTGCCTGTGTATGTTAACCAGAAGGGAAATATTTCTGTGGCATTTTTAAAGGAATATGTATCTTAAATGTGCATTTTTTAGTATGCAGTGACTTAAACTTGGACAGTGTTTGAAGTTAACTGATTCAAACAGTATTACTGGTAATTGTGATAGTGTAAAATTATTTAGCGTGTATAAAAACAAAAAAGGAAGGAGCAAAACTCTACCAGAATTTATCCTTAAGATGCGACTATCAAGATTACTACTATTGATGAGGCTGGAAAGCTGCCATTTCATTAATATTAAGTGTACCTTTTCTATTAAAAAAAATACTTTTGGAAAAAAATAAATCCTGAGGGTTGGATGTGGTGGCTCTCGTCTGAAATCCCAGCACTTGGGAGACCAAAGCAGGTGGATCACTTGAGGCCAGGAGTTCGAGACCAACCTGCACAACATGGAGAACCCTCATCTCTACAAAAAATACAAAAATTACCCAAGTGGTGGCACACGCCAGTAGTCCCAACTACTTGGGAGGCTGAGGTGGGAGGTTCACTTGAGCCTAGGAGGTTGAGGCTGCAATGAGCTGAGATCACATCTCTGTACTCCAGCCCGGATGACAAAGCAAGACCCCATCTCAAAGTAAAGAGTAGAAAAGAGGAGAGGGAGAGGAGAGGAGAAGAAAGGAAAGGAGAGGAGATGACAGGAGAAGAGAGAAAAAGAAACCCTAAAGGATTGATGGTAGTTCATCATTGGTGTTGGGTGAATACATCCAAATGCTTTCATGCACAGTGGTCTTAATGGGAAATCAGCTTATTTGGCATAACATCCACAATAATATAGCTGTTACTCAGATTCAACAGTTTCAAGATTTTCTTACATTGACCTCGTATGTCTAATTTTCTTCCTTAACTGTTAAAGCAATTCTCAAAAGTCATGTCATTCATTTCACTCTTTCATTTATTGGTATGTATCTCATAAGCCTTGACATCACCACAAGCCATTATCACATATTACAAACTGTGAATAAACATTCTCTGTTATATCTGTCTTGGAACATTGCATAAACGTAGCACAACCATTTTCTGTCAGAAATACCTCAGGGGAAGGGTACTCGTGAATGGAGAGGCATGCATCTCCTCTGAAGGCAATTGTGTTTGCGCAATTTTCTTCTCATGGCCAAATTGACTGAAGGAAAAAGAAACATTAGGAGCAATTTTCAGAGGTTTAATTATTGTTTAATCTGGACAATGTAAACATATATTTTGGAACCAAACTAGACTGTGGTTACTTGCTATTTCTTCAGATGTGATTCTGAAATTAAGAACGAATGTGATGCGTATACACAAGGGGCATTCCTAACAGTTCATGTTATTAACGAGATCTTCTTTTACATTTATTCATTTATTTAATCCCTATCGTTAAGCAATATACCAAGTCTAAAGAGTAATATCCTCCTCCTTTTACATGATTTTTTTCCTAAATGCTCCTAGACCTTTTATTTTATGTAGTAAATTAATCACAAATATTTTGTGAGAACATTGTCCAAGCTATTCCGTGTTTCCGAAAAGTATAAATGGTTTGAATAGTGACTGCTGTAAACAATAAGAAGGGATCAAGCTGCTTTCTCAAAGTTGCTGTCTTGGAACATTTTTTTAAATTTATGTAAAAGAACAGACCAGGGGACATAATTTAAAATAAACTCACAGTGGTCAAACTTCTAATTAACTAAAAAGCGAAGTCTGAATTTTTAACAAGTAATGCGTCATTTTCTATTCTAACTGGTGAAGTATATTAGCAAGTGAATAATCTAACATATTTGGATGTAAATATTGCCACCTTTTTATTTAAAGTTGGGTTTGTGATTTTCCTGAGTCAGAAAACTTTTAACTTTCTAATTTCTTTTCCTTTTTTCTTTTTTTTTCTTCATTCTTTCCTTTTTTTTTTAACTTACCAGTTCTTTGAAATCTTAGCTATTTGGTTTTGAAGTAAAAGTACATTAGAATAATTTTGTGTACTAAATTTCTGTTAAATATCATCTTTGAAAACATGTCAAGTAAATTAATATATCTTTATCATACGTATTTTTGACACTTTTTGGCTCTATAAGCATAACAACAACTGTACTTAATTGTTTTAAGTGACATGCCTAGTTACTATAACTAGAAATAACAGCTATTGACTTGTTTTAAAATTTCATCTGCATTTTGTCACATTATGCTTTTTGTATGTTAATTCAGTCCCTACACCGGCCAGCAACATACTTATAAATAAAATTCTTTGGAGTTTCCATTTTACCTAAAAATTTATAGATTTCTTTACCTCTATAATGAATAGACCAACATTTCTGTTTCATTTTACTTGTAAAGACAACATATCTACAACAGCTCAGAGATCTATTTTCTTTGCATTTAGAAAAAAAGTGGTAAAATACTTATCATTTCAAAGTCCAGCTATTTTTAAAATATTGAAATAATAGACCCAACAGGATGGATAGCATACTTTCAAAGTCCTACGCATTTATCCCCAATACCTACTAACCACAAGCACACCTAAGCGGATTTCAGATAAGCACAATCATGCCCAGAGACCCAGGGATGCAAACAGGCAAAACAAGTTACTAGTACAAATGTTATCAAAGGCCTACCTGGTCTCTGTCCGCTGATAAGGAGAAGACTCATAAGAAAAATAAAAAATGCAAAAAGGAATTTCTGAAATCTCATTTTCCTACCGCACAAAAGTGGAGCAATGGCTCTCAGTGTAAACCAAACCGATCTGTAAATAGTCTGTGCAATATCTTTGTGGCTGTCTTCACATTCTAATGACAAAGCTCAGAGAACTGCCAGCTGCGTTTTCCAGGAAGGTTAATGATCACATCAGACAAGGTTGCCTTGCTCTGTGCTGTGGTTAGAGCCTCCCTCAACCTCAAACCCCTCCTCCACTCCTCCTCTCCTTTCTCCTCTGGCACTCCCCTTTATTTCCATAAGCAAATATTGGTGAAATAAACCATTCAAGCATGCTGTAATTTCAGTGGAAGTATACTCTGAAAGCTCCAAAAAGAGACTGACTTCAATTCAACCTGGATACGAAGAAATATGTAAAACGTTATGTGACACTGTCTCCTCCCCTTACCATTTGCATCTGTTTAAATTTGCTCATTTTGGTCCCACATGCAGAAACCAGTGGAAATGACAGGAAGTCTCTCTTTTGTCCTTTTCAGAAGGAATTCTGAAGCTCTAACATAAGACCCCCAAATGCTTTGTGGCAGAACATATGCCGAAATGCTTTATCTTCACCAAGCTTACTACAAAGAGGTGCCTGTTTGCACTAACTCTCCAAATGACCTAACTCACGTGGGTTTGTATTGGTAAAGATTTTGGAAAGTTAGAATGTCTTGAAATAAATCAGCAAAACATTTACATTTCTTTTAATATTTGGTAAAATGCAATGTTAAAAGTAACGAAGATTATTTTCATCTGCAAATGTCCAGGGATTTTAAAAAGGAAGTTCAGGCAAGCCACAAACTCATGAAATCTATGTTGTGTTAAAAATGTATACGTGGTGGAATACCAGGCTAACACACCACAGTCACAGAAATTGGAGATGCAGAAAAAACATCTTAGTTTATCTCCCAATGAATTCAGAAGACACGGAAACAGTCTAGTCTTGGCCTTCTCACACATACACCAAGATCTCTTTTTGTTTCAAGTGTTCCCTTATACGTCAGATATAGCTGTTATAAATGGACACGACTATACTTATTATGTAAGTATAATAAATTCCATTTAGGACAGCTATAACTAACATATTTTAGGTAAAATGCAAAATACCAAAAGAATAGTGTAGATATATTCTGAAACAGAATACAGCTAAAATACTCAAAAGCGTATGAAATTTGTTTTGAATTGTTAGGAGTTTTCGTTGTATTTGGTTTCTTTAGACTCAGGAAGCTGGTCCATTACCTTGGGCTTCCTGAGGTTTGAATTTAATGCCCAATTTGTCTTGATGTACAATAAGTCAATCTGTAAATTTCCCTACCTGTCTAGTTAGGCATGCAGTTTATAACAGGCAATGGCATACAGGAATTTTTAAAATCACTTTATTAAAGTATTGAGACTATGTTGACCTATTTCGGGACTTGAAGCATAGTGTTAAAGGATACTACTTTACCATGCCGTACATTGCTTCATAAAATCAATGGGATACAATAGAGTTTGAACTTGTGATATAAAAGTGACCTACGGATGGCAAAGAGTTACATTCGAACAGAGTTGAATGTTAAATCAATAAGAGATCAATATAGATTTTGGCACTAAAACTTCATGCCAAGTTTTAAGTGTATTCTTACAGTACTGAGTCTTCCTTATAGGTAAGATAGAGACCTACCACAGACAGCAAATATTGACTGAAATTTTTATATTTCATTACCAGGTAGTCAACAATGAATTCCTAGAATATCGCTAATACACACCAGTGCTGTGGAAGATACATGTCTCCACTGATCAGGACTGAGTAAACTGTTATGTTTAAGTTATGTAACCACGTAGGACATACTTTTTCTCATTAAAAAAAAAAAAAGTGATAAAATACTTGGTTTTCTTTTTTTTTTTTTGAGACGTAGTTTCGCTCTTGTTACCCAGGCTTGAGTGCAACCGCGCGATCTCGGCTCATCGCAACCTCCACCTCCTGGGTTCAGGCAATTCTCCTGCCTCAGCCTCCTGAGTAGCTGGGATTACAGGCACGCGCCACCATGCCCAGCTAATTTTTTGTATTTTTAGTAGAGATGGGGTTTCACCATGTTGACCAGGATGGTCTCAATCTCTCGACCTCGTGATCCACCCTTCTCGGCCTCCCAAAGTGCTGGGATTACAGGCTTGAGCCACCGCTGCCCGGCCCAAAATACTTGGTTTTCTACCTGAAAGAGTGCATATGTATTAAACTCATGAAAATGTAGACATGATTTATTTACATATTTTAAATTGTTTCAAAAAAAAAAGAAAGAAAAAGAAAAAGGTGTTTAAATAGTCGACCTCTGGAATATAGTAATAAAGTGATTATACAGTTAATGGGCAAACTGAAAGCCTGGACAGGAGGGACAATGATAAGTAATGCAGCATTTCTGTGGAATGGAGTAAAAAATAGGAATAAATTATTCGTCTTAGTACTGAATAACTAGATGTGGAGAAATCTTGGTAAGAAAGTGTCAGGACAATGCCACTGGCTCTGCAAACAGCACTCTCAGCCTGCAACTATAGGAGAACAAGGAATCTTCTTTGTTTACATGAACACAAACCTAGACTTCCACCCAAGTGACAGCCTTTGTGAGAGAGGCCAGCACTGTGCCTCTGGGCCAAATCCTATGTTAAATGTGTTGCATTCATTGCTTCGCATAATCCTCCCCAAAACACTCTGAAGTATGCCTCCCTGTTTACCAGATAATAAAACTGACAGCTAAAGAGGTGTAGCCTCCAAGGGCAGTTTTCAACCATTTTGCTATTCTCCCTTTTAAGGTCCAAATTCTAGTTCTTACTAAAAGAAAAAAAAAAAAAAGGCCTATTGAAGCTATTATAAAACAAAAGATAAGTTGGCAATATATTTCTTTTTTGTTTTCTTTGTTTTGTTTTGTTTGGAGATGGAGTCTCTCTCTGTCCTCCAGGTTGGAGTGCACTGGCGCAATCTCTGCTCACTGCAACATCTGCCTCTGGGGTTCAAGTGATTCTCCTGCCTTAGCCTCCCAAGTAGCTGAAATTACAGGCGCCCAACACCATGCCCGGCTAATTTTTGTATTTTTCTTCTTTTTTTTTTTTTTTAGTAGAGAAGGGTTTTCACGATGTTGGCCAGGCAGGTCTCATACTCCTGACCTCAGGTGATCCGTCTACCTCGGCCTCCCAGAGTGCTGGGATTACAGGCATGAACCACTGCGCCCGGCCGTTAGAAATACATTCTTTGTATGAGGTTGAATACTTTGCCCCCTAAAATTTATGTCCATCTGGAACTCAAGATATGGTCTTATTTTCAAATAGGTTCATTGCATGGGGCACAGTGGCTCACGCTTGTAATTACAGTACTTTGGGAGGCTGAGGTGTGTGGATCACCTGACGTTGGGAGTTCAAGACCAGCCTAACCAACATGGAGAAACCCTGTCTCTGCTGAAAATACAAAATTAGCCGGGCATGCCTGTAATTCCAGCCACTCGGGAGGCTGAGGCAGGCAGGAGATTCCCTTGAACCCGGGAGGCAGAGGTTGCAGTAAACAGAGATTTTGCAATTGCACTCCAGCCTGGGCAAAAAGAGTGAAAGTCCGTCTCCAAAACAAAAAAAAAAGAAGAAGAAAAAAGAAATAGGGTCACTGCAAATGTAATGAGTTAAGATTGAGATAGTACTGGAGTAGGGTGGGTCCTAAATCCAATATGGTAGCTACTGTCCTTATAGGAAAAGGAAGAGGGCCGGGCATGGTGGCTCACACCTGTAATCTCAGAACTTTGGGAGGCTGAGGTGGGAGGATCACCTGAGGTCAGGAATTCGAGACCAGTCTGGCCACCATGGAGAAACCCCTTATTTACTAAAATACAAAAATTAGCCAGGCATCATGGCACATGCCTGTAATCCCAGCTACTTGGGAGGCTGAGGCAGGAGAGTCACTTGGACAGGGCGGGGTGGGTGGGTGGTGAAGGTTGTGGTGAGTGGAGATGCGCCATTGCACTCCAGCATGGGCAACAAGAGCAAAACTCTGTCTCAAAAAAAAAAAAAAAAAAACAAACAAACAAAAAACAAAGGCCAGGCACGGTGGCTCAAGCCTGTAGTACCAGCACTTTGGGAGGCCAGGGCAGGCAGATCACGAGGTCAAGAGATCGAGACCATCCTGGCCAACATGGTGAAACCCCGTCTCCACTAAAAATACAAAAATTAGCTGGGCCTTGGTGGCACTCACCTATAGTCCCAGCTACTAGGGAGGCTGAGGCAGGAGAATTGCTTGAACCCGGGAAGCGGAGGTTGCAGTGAGCCGAGACTGTGCCACTGAACAACAGCCTGGCGCCTGCGACAAAGTGAGACTCTGTCTAAAAAAAAAAAAAAAAAAAAAAAGACGAAGAAGAAGGGGAGGAGACAGAGACACACAGAGGCAAGGATGAGAGCTATGCTGCCTTGGGCCAAGGAAGCAATGCCAAGGATCACCAGCTACCACCAGAAGTTAGGGAAGAGGCATGAAACAAAATCATTCTTTGTGTCTCCAAGAAAGAATTACCTCTACTGACAGCTTGATTTTGGACTTCTGGCCTTCTGAATTTGGAAGAATAAACTTATGTTAAGTCACCCAGTTTGTGGCACTTTGTTACAGCAGCCCAGGAAATCAATACATTTCTGTACCTACATATATGCTATAAGGATATAAATATTCTCGATGCCATCCCGTAAAAATATACTTATTTTTATAGTGATATACTATATATGCCAGGTACTTAACCAGTGTTATTTTGTTTACACATCATAATCTTATGATGTAAGTTCTATCTCTGTTTTACAGAGAAGGCAATAAACTCAAAGGATTAAGTGATTTGCCCCAAATAAAATAGCTCATAGCAAAGTGAGTATGAGGTCTGTATCTCTCAGGCCTGGGCCTCTTATCCCTTTGATTCGGATCTTGTGCCCTAACTTTTCTTAGGAGATTCCTCCCAGTTGATGTCATCTTTACCGCTTTCATATTCAGTCTTTCCTTGTTTACTGCGTCCGTCTCTCCCTGTAAAAATACTCTTTCCAACCTAAATTTTCTCTCCCTTTGCCCATTATCATTCAACTAGATGTCTGAAATGGAGTCCACCTGATTGTCCTACTCCCCCACCAGCTTCTCCTTGATATAAGACTCTAGCTTTCCCCACTGTACTCAAATTAGTATGTCTCAGAGTTTCACTCTTTCACCCAGGCTGGAGTGAAGTGGCACAGTCTCGGCTCACTGTACCTCCACACCCCACTCCAGGTTCAAGTGATTCTCCTGCCTCAGCCGGCTGAGTAGCTGACCCTGTAGGCGCCTGGCTAATTTTAGTATTTTTAGTAGAGATGGGGTTTCGTCATG